AGATCAGAAAGGCCTATTTGAATCATCCAACTATAATTTTAGTTGGTCATTTCTTTAATGCCTTTTATAATATTTAAGATTAGTGGTGTTATTGTACTGGCGATGGCGCCAGAAAATTATGGGTACCAATGATTCCATATTAGGAAAAGAAACTTGCGACAGTAGTCCTCTGCATATGGAAACTCTGCTTTAAAGATTAAATACTTTGCAGGTTTTCTGTGTCGAGAAACCGAATTAGTAGACCGCCAACACACATTTTATAGTTTTCTCCTTATCTATGCTCTTGCTCCATAACATGTGATAAAAGAAGGAACATTTTTAAACAATTTTGAAAACATTCCTTTGTAGGTTTAAATTTCTGTGATTACCTACCACTTTGCGAGTTCTACCAAAGTTTACAGAATAAATATTTAGTGATGGGAGAATTCGAATGCAAGAATCGATATCCATTCGATTCTTAAAAGTTCTCGCTGTACTCGAGAACTTTTATGCCGGCATTCGAATACTTGAGAATTCATGATGAGATTTCGAGTATCCCTCAGGACAGGCAGATAGATGGACTAGACACTAGGCGGATGTGCTTTAGAGGCCAAAATTGAATGTTTTTTAAGATTTGTTGTATTGTCAAATAATTTAAACTTTTTACTTATCTTTTTTTAACATAAAATCCCAAACTAATGATTTGCAGCCAGGCTTCATTTTAAAAATAAAAATTCAATAATTATAAAAGAATTAAAAACATCAATATTTAATAACGGAAAATGCTCCATGAAACAAACCACACTCTCGTTCGTTGTGAGGTTTACCTTAATTACTAACAGCTAAGCTATGGTTTATGGTTTTCCTAAGCGTTTCATTTGTTTCGGCAATAGTTATGTGACAATAAGTTTAAGGTTAGCTAGGTACTTCTGATTTTCTTTCAGCAGCCAGAACATATAATATGTTCAATTTTGTTTATTCTTGATATTTAGTCGACACTCCTAGACTATATTTTTTTAAATAGGTAAGCCTACATTTAAAAAGTTTGCATTGTAAGTTTTGAATAAATCGTAATATCAAATCAGTGAATATGTATTTCAAATACATTTGAATTGACTACAATATAAAAATGATAATATTCTTTATCTACGACTATTTAATAATAGACGCATTATAATTGTGATAGTAAGTGCATAATTTAACTCATATTTCACACCCGTGGAATATGAGTTTCATATTCCACAGGTGTGGAATATGAATTTTTATACGTATCCCTTATAGCTTCTGACCGCGCTACAAAATAGAATCGAGCTTGCTTGAATTATTGTTACTATGGTAACTAATGTAATTGATTTGACAACACTTCGCAAAATAAAACATTTTTGACTTTTGCAGTAATTTTGCAGTTTAATTCTGACAGTGAAAATGAAATTCGATGCACCCCTCCTGAAATTCGTGAAGCCGCGAAATTAGCATCATTGGAATTACTTCCAGAGAAATCAGGAAAAAATTACACAATTGTATATAACAGCTTTATGGACTGGCGACTAAAAATTGGCACAAATTCGTTTTCCGAAGATACTTTGTTGGTATATTTCAAGGAATTGACAAAAAAATGTAAATCGTCTACATTGTGGAGCCATTATTCCATGCTTAAGAGCACACTTAACCTTAAACATAATATGAATCTTACGCAAAAGTTCGAGTTTATTAAAAAGGCAGTCAGAAGGCTACCAACCCAAGAAATCAAAGGCATTTACTGGAGATGAAATATACAAATTTATAACTGAAACACCGGATACTAAGTCGAAGATAAAGTATAGTATTTGCCTCGCGTATAATGGCTATATTACACTCGCCTACGGCTCGTGTAATATAGCCTACATTATACGCTCGTTAAATAATATACTATTTTCTTCAAGCGTATAATAATACTTATATTATATAGTGCAACACCTCCTTTAGAAGCAGCCTATTGTTTAACTAGTACAAATATTTTTCATTTTTTAACTAGTAAAAAAATGTAACAATGTGTAGGTAAGTATCCTAGCAACGAATTAAAGATTCAAGAAGCTTTGACGTTTCATTAAGTGTCAGTTGAAATTTGATGTCGCGTCGGGTCGTTTTTAAAATGTGTGAAGAAATGCAGTGCACACCACCAGAATTACTGGAAATTGCAAATACATCAGTGGCAACACTTATACCAACAAAGTCGAGAAAAATTTATGAAAATGCTTATGATAAATTCATAAATTGGGCAAAAGAAAATAATGCACATATTTATTCAGAAAATGTGATGATAGCATATTTTACAAGATTATCCAGAACACTGAAAAGTTCAACTTTATGGGCGCAATATTCAGTGGTAAAATCTAAATTAAACATAGAACACAATGTAAATATTGAGAAATATTCAAAATTAATTACATTTTTGAAACGACAAGGTGAAAATTATAAACCAAAAAAGTCGAAAGTTTTGTCTAAAAAATAATTTGACGAATTCCTGAATGAAGCACCTGATGATAAATATTTAGCAACCAAGGTATGTACTTTTTAAATTATAGGTAGATATATATTTAACCTTTTTATATTTGTAATACAAAATTTTGTTATAATTTGTAAACTTCAAGTTATTTTATAGTATCCATTACGAGAATAATAAACAATTTTCGGAAATAAAGATAGCTCATTGGAAGACTGTTGTAAAAACTCATAAATATAGATGTCTTAAAATTACGCCATGTTTTAGAATTTCCTTGCATTTTCCAACTTTTTTTATTGTTACAAAATTAATAATTCTATATTTTTTAGGTTGCACTAATATTTGGAGTCACAGGAGCTTGTAGATGCGATGAACTCATTCAAGTAAAAGTTAATGATGTAAAAGATTTGGGAAATATAATATTAGTAAATATTCCCAATACAAAAACTAAAAAACATCGTTCATTTACCATATTTGGAGAGTTTTATTTAAATTTATACAGAAAATATGCTACTCTTCGGCCAAAAGACATAACTTTTGATAGATTTTTTATTAAATATCAAAATGGCCATTGTCATCGTGTTGTAATGGGCATACATAAAATTTCAAAAGTGCCAAAAGATGTTGCATCATTTTTAAGGTTGCCAAATCCACATGAATATACGGGGCATTGCCTTAGAAGGCAACTATCTTAGTTGATAATGGTGGAGACATTACAACCCTAAATCGACATGGTGGATGGAAATCTACCAGCGTCGCTGAAGGATACATTGAAGATTCTGTAAACAATAAGAAACAGATAGCGATGAAAATATTAAACCCATTAGAGTATAATGAACCAAGTACATCAAGCGAAACTGTAAATATTGATCCTGAAAATAATTTAATCGAAAACTTTTCTGTTAATAATGGTACAATTGTTAACACTGAAACTGAGAACCTTATTACAAGTAACGTATTCAACGACAGAACTGTAAACTTTGAAAAAAAGACAGCCATCAGCGCTTTAAATATCAACAACTGTACCATACAAAATTGCATATTTAATATTCATGTTAATAAATAAAGTTTTATGATAGACATGTAGGTAATTTAGATGTTTATTCGTTTAATTCAAATTAAAGAAAAATAATTGTTACATTTTTTTTTATTCATGAATAAAGTGGTTAAAACTGTCATGTTTAATTAATCAATAAAATGTATAAAATAAATAGTATTACCTACCTACTGATTTTATTTTGTGCTGAGATTGAACATCGCGTTATCCGCTATAAATTTTCAAAATTAGTAATTTTTTATATTCACGCTTGAAGAAAAAATAGTATATGTCACTCGGAGTGGAAGGCTCATTATGTGTTTTGCCCAATTTGCTCAGCCTCGGCTAACGCCTCGGCGAGCAAACTTTTGGGCTCAACACATAATGATCGCCTTCTACTCCTAGTAACATAATATACTATTATATCACTGGTTTTATAAGGTAGGCCATATTATTACAAACAGAAGCGTGAAGTATAGACACTATACAGAAATGCATACCTAAGTAACAATCATATTTGACAATTTATAAAAAAGTGTTGGAAGCTTTTAAATTTGTAAAAACTATGCGAACTAGATAAGTGCACCCATCTGTAGTTCTTGAACCATAGGGTAGATGCATATAGGAGTAAGCACTTCATTTGTGTGATTCTATGCCAAATATTCAGCACCATGTCTTAAAATGAAAAAAGTCTAACTTTACGTACAATTAAATACTGTTTTTATATCATTTTGTATTATAATTTTCGCAGCAAGACTGTAAGTGTATATTCTTATAGGTAAGGTACACACAATTTTATTTGAGTATATTTTATTGTTTTTCAATTATTGTACCTAATCAAAAAACATTTTGTTATATATGTATGAACTTAATATCTCTTTAAGTACGAGTAGAAAATAAATTTCTCTATTGCGTTGAGAGCATATAATTTAGCTCTAAGTTTATTCTCTAGCAAATATTTTTATGAAACATTTAAAGCATATCCTTGTACATATACTTATGCATAGATATTTTTTTACTTTATCTTTACAAATTAAGTGATGAATATTATATACGCAGTAAATAATATTTTAATGTACCTATAGTTTAAATAATTTAATTTAATGTTTTTTATTGTGTCCCTTTGACCCCCCTGTGTATATGTTATTGCCAAATATTCTTAAATTGAAGGATTAGCTATCAATAGTTAATCTCTTTCATAGGTAAGTACTTACCTATCCTATTTTATAATTTAAGTTTTTTAAATTTGTGGTTATGTAATTTAGATATCATACAAAGCAAATTAATGACTTCATTTAGATTTGTGTTGACTACACATCATAATAATGTGTTAGAATTTTGAACATTGAGAAAAGAATCTGCTGTCTTAATAAAAACTATTTTGTTCTAGATATAGGTATTAGCAGTATTTTTATTGCATTGTGTCTAGCTAAAGACGAGGAATTGTGTAAAAAAATCAAATAGAAGGTAAAAATAAAAAAGAAAGTAAAATAAAAGAAAATATAAATATTAAAACTATCAGTCTACATTTTTATTCATTGCACAAAACACTGATAATAAAGTAGGATAACACATGTTGAAAAAATTAAATTAAAAATAAAATATACAAGGACTAATTTAGATAATATTAAAAAATAAACTTTCATTTGTACTGAACAATAATAATGTCATAAAATGATAAAAAAAATAATCCCCATAAAATACTAGAACGAAGAATAGAAAAAACAAGTATTATGCATAGACATAATATTTTCATAAATGAATGTACAATATATTTACATTATTTTGCAAAAATTATACATAGTTCTTCTTCACTACATAATAATTTATTCTATTCAATATTTCATAAAAAACTAATATAAAATTGCCAATAATTAGCTTAACTCAATTGGTTTCTTTTTTTTATATATGTATAGGTATACTGCACTAATACTCAAACAAATATTCGAGAAAGTTATCTTACTATATTGGTCCAAAATTAATAGGGAAAAATTATAAATGATATGTTAAATTGGTCTAAAAGTACTAAAGTTTTCATTTTCGGTAGAAAAAAAATTGAAAAAATAATTGGTCCTCCTTTTTAGAAATAAATCGATCGTTTAGCGAGATGATTGGCAAGTGTTTTGTTAAGCGAGATTATTCTTATAAAAACAAAAAACAAATTATTGGCATGATTTTATACTGAACGCTTATTTATAGAAAGTTTACAACTCCTGGAAGCAAATTAGTGGTTTTTGTTATATTAATCGTGTAACTAATTGTAAACTTTGCATAAATATTTTTCTCTACTTATTACATATAACTTATATTGACATCTATTTCGTCTAAATTTTAGAATGAGTTAATCTTGGCAATTAGAAGTAGAAAATTCCTGTGAACCTTGCATCGGTAGCTATAACAGTGCGTTAGTGTTAGAAACTTGGACCCCAGGTCGGATAATACACACAGACAGACAGACACATTAAAGGTTTTCGTAAATAAAACGCATAAGATTATTTTTACCAAAATATATATTTCTATCACATCAAATTCAAATGATAATTTCACAAACAGATGCCACGATATAACACAATATAATATTTTTTTCTGTTAAATTTAATGACGATCGGTCATCATTTAATATACAATATAATTGAATTATGTTAAAATTACTTATAATTAAACTTTATATCACAGACTTATCAGAGTTCTCATCAATTAAAAATATTATATGTGGTGTTTGTGTTCAAATACAACTTCCATAATATAATTTCATGTGGGACATGCAACATGCAGAAAACCTCAGCCGCCAACTAAAAAAAAAAAAAAAAAAAATGGTAGCCCGGAGAATAAATACAGATCGAATTTCATAAAATTTGGCTGTGATAAAATGGAATATTTTTTTTATACAGTAATTTTCTTCATTTTGGTGGCCAGAGTTTTTGAGTTAGTGCCAGCATAGGTTTATTTTTTTAAAGGAATCAGAATATCCTCCGATTTTTTTGTGAATTCACATTTAAAAAATATATTTTGAGTTCTTTGTTCGTTGCTTCAAAATTATGTTATCTACATGTTAAAAAAAATTATAATTGCAGAATTTTATGATCATTATGAGGCCATATTTTTAAGTACCTTTTGAAAATTGTCAAAATCAGTGAAATCAAGTACGTTCAACGTTTAGTTTTAACTTTCGTTCAAATACATGCTTTTAATAGTTGCTTGATAATTTTTGGTAAGTATGGAGTATGTAGTTTTCGTTAAAAACCACGTCAGATATACTTTATCCAAATCGAATTTTGTAAAAAGCAAAAAAATTAATGGTGATGAAGGTAGTTTATGAAATAATACAATAATAAATTCCTTCATTGGTAAAATGAATGATCTAACATACGATATTTGTTGAGATAGAAATACAAGAAGACCCCTGCGTCCCTTAGAATAACCACATTTGACACCTGAGGTAGAAAGACATTGGCATTCACCGTAGCAGCTTGCAGTGCAGAGTGTTGCAGTTATGAAGGCGTGTTTCTATCAGTGTAATTTCTTATTAAAATAAATCAATAGAGGTGAAAAATAAAAGACAGCAACTTACTTCCCAGTCGAAGAGTATCGTGTTTAACGTGTATAAATATTTTAAGACAATTTTTCCAAATGAAAATAAAAACAATGTTGTAGCTGCTGCAGGAGTATCTTTAGCAATTATAGGGAGAATCTTAAATGAAAGATAATCTAAAAAGTTTTAGTTTTCTCAAAATAACCTCTAAAATTTCGAGGGACGCCCCTGCCACGGTAAATTGTTACAGTAGTTCTGATTACAGAACTTTATTGGCTTATTCTTAGCTTGGAGTTCTATCTCAACAAATATCGTACGGACTGTATACTTTTTTAGTTTTTGTCTGATTTTACTTAAATTTTCTTTAAAATATCAAATTCATTACGTTTAATCTTCAAGCAAATTCAATTACATATACTGTTTAAATGCAACGCCACCCGAGATACTAAAGAGATTGAAAAAATCACTAATTTTTTTGTTTTTGTGGAAAAATTTTCATTAAAAATTATTTTCAAGTCAATTTAATATGTGTTTTGTTTCATTAAAAAATATAGTAGTAACCATATTTTCATCGACGTAATATCTAATGAAAATTTTATTCATTCAATTAAATTCGTTCGATTCATCGAAATGTCTAACATGAGTTTTGAATTTTTTCAATCTACACATCTGGAGAGTGTCATATTTGAAAAAAAATTGAATCAAGTCAGATAAGCACTAAAAAAGTTGTGAGGAATTAGCAGTTCGAACTTTCTGAAAAAAAAAAAAAAATAGTATTTTTTCATTTCACCTGTGAAAATTCGTTAATAAAAACTAAAAAGTTCACTTCTGACGTATCATATCGGTAGAAGTATTTTAGCATTAAATATTCCACCTACAAAAGTTAAAAACGGGCGTTGGGCAGAAATTTGTTACTGAATATTGCATGCCACGTAGCAATTTCAACGCGTCCTCCAAAGTGTCTCGTCTGATGCCATAAGAGGTTCACAGAATTTTTTACAGCATATAATACTTGAAGCCTATGCACATCGAGATGCAAAAAAGACTGGTAAACAGTCCTAAAATACCTAGAATTTGGTTCCAAATTTTCTACTATTAGGTATATTTTATGTAGTTAATACTATACTAGACTGGCCATAATCGTTCATAACTTTAACCCATTGGTCCTTAATACTATTTATAATTTTGGCTTACACAAACAAAATTTGTACAATCGGTACAGGGCTGGCCAAAAATTGCTCCATAAAATTTTATGGAAATACCTTAAAAAAAAATAATAACAGTCTCAGAGGTTAAGGTAACAGTAAAATAATTCTGCTGAGTTGTAAAACCGATCCCAGGTGTCCCTAAATGCACTCTGCTGCATTTTTATATCCCTCGCCTCAGCAGATCCAAGCCTTATTGACCATCGTCGTTCCCTATATTATATAATTAACAAGTTATTTCCGCTATATAACAGCAGTTTCGTCATGTTGGGGAATAACGATTTTTATATTTATTTACCTACATGTAAAATATCTACATGGTTGCCGAAATTTTGACCAGCGCTGTGAATCTGCAGCCTTAAAAGTTTAGAACTTAGACGCATAATGCTTATTTTCTCACAAACGAGAAAAATTATTAACAATGCCTTCAACGTATTTATTTTTTAATATATCAAACCAGTATATACATGTATATTAAGACTGTAAATAAGTTTGTGGCCATTAGTTAACAATCTTTCCCGTTACTCTCATGAGGTTCACCATGTAAGTCATGGACCAATAGAAGAAAGTCATAATGCCATAATTTAAGTATTTATATACAAATTTTACAAATGAAAATATTTGATTTAGACCTTTTTTCTTCAATAATTATTAACACGGTTATTGTTTTTATCACACTTTTGTTCACTCACATAATCCACCACTGGTGTGGTAGGTGAGTTCAGGAACTCGGCTTTTATTCAAACAGAGCGAGGATATCGTCGTTTGCGGAGTTGTTAGCGTGCCCTGAGCTGCTGCCGCTGGACGGCGGCGTGTTCAGGTCAGGGGGGTCCAAGTATGATAGCAGTTCCATGGGGTCCACGCTGTCTGGTAGTAACTGTAAGTAGAAAGGCAAATGTTAGCAACACGAGTAGCATCCACTTGATGGGATATGACAACAGGACGCTGGCGGGCAAAAAGCAACAGGCCAACATTAATTCAGCGAAACGAGAATGGCCGATCATATCACTGCTTCAGTTTATTATATTTATTTAGTTTTTTGTCTATCATTTTACTATGAAATATGTGAGGTAATGAATTACATGCTTTTCTGCATGAAGTATTGGTTTTTACTAATCGTAAAGTCAAAATAAATAAGTAAAATTTGTGTCGTGTAGTAAAATTAAAGTGTATCGTATAGGGCAAGTGTAAGTAGATTTATTTCAGTGTTTAGTAACGGTAAAGGTGTGTTTATGTGTCTTCATTGTCTAATTTCTGTGTTATATCATGAAAGTTTAAGATAAGACGAATAACACCTGTACACAAGTCAGGAAATACTAGTCTGATTACAAACTATCGACCCACAACAATCCTACCTTCAATATCCAAAATATTTGAACGGGCAATATATAGTAGGATTTATAGGCATATGAAACAAAAATTTGTTAGAAGAACAACATGGCATTTTAAAGAAAAGATCTACCATTACTAATTTATGTACGTTCAGCGTGTGGATTACAGAAAAAATATATATAATTCCCAGATTGATACTGTTTATACTGACTTGGCTAAGGCCTTTGATAGAGTCAATCATAATATCCTATTATCGAAATTGAAACTATTATTCTTTTAGTGAAGATTTGATACGAATCTGAAACTTTTGTGTCGACTTCCGGTGTACCTCAAGGATGCATATTGGGACCGTTGCTATTTATCTTATTTATAAATGACATCTCTGATTATATACAGCATGCGAAGTTTTTGCTCTATGCAGATCACTTGAAGGTTTATCTTAGCATAACATGTTGGGATGATGTTGCAGTGTTTCTGCGTTTTGTAAAGATAACGTCCTAGCTTTAAATGGGGCAAAATGTAAACTGGTGTCATATACACGGAAGAAATACCTATATAGTGAATGGTGTCGAGATAGAGCTTCTGAACAGAATCAAGGACCTAGGTGTAATTTTTAGCAAAAATATTACATTTAATGAACATATTACAAGTTTACCAGCTGAGTGTTATAGGAAGCTCGGTTTTGTTCTAAGGGACTAGCCAAGAGTTATAAGGCTATTCAGTGCATCTGTAAGATCAAAATTAGAGTACTGTAGTGCGATTTGGAACCTACAAGCTGCCAGTAACAAGGACACGAATGAGAAATATAGAAGAAGAAGAAGAAGGAAGAAGATATGTTAAAGAGGACGGAGTGTATCTGTTCATGGTATCATATGAACATCAATGAGTAGAGTTTGGTGTGACCTCTTTGGACAGGAGAAGGGAAAATGCTCAGATTTTGTTGGCATCTATTGATATTAATGTACCCGATATGAGAATGCGAACTAGATATAGACTTTTAAAAATATTTAATATTAATTCACCCCTAGAACAGTGTCTGTGTAGAATGGATAATTTGTTAAGAACTTACGTTAAGCTACTCTCATACTTATGATACGTATACGATTGGGGCACGTATCCATACTACGTGACTCGTTCAGGGGGGAGGGGGGTCTTCAAAATACCACGCTTGGTCATTATCCTCTAGGGAAGTTTAGGACTATCTTTTTGTCTGTATGCATGCAGTAGGGTGGCCCAAAAAAACGAAGATTAATCGCTCAAGATTTTTAAAAATTTCCAAAATTGTCAAAAATTGCATTTTTTAAATTTTTTTTTCATTATTTTATCATTTTCTAGGTTGAAAAAAATCTGGATTTTTGAAAATTTTAAATCTATATTTTAATTTTTAATCACACATAATTATTTTAACTTCTAAAGTAGTGTACCTATGTTTTCGAGCGACCTCTAAAAATAAATATGAACGAACTAATATTTTTTTTTATTGAATTTGATGAACAAAAGAATAGAAATAAATCACAAGACACTTAAATTTTAAAAAGTTCAAAAATTATAAATGTTTGATACTCACAGTGCTGTAGTAAATTTTGCCTCTAGAAATTTTTTAAGTATCTCGAGTTATTTCTATTCTCTTGTTTATCAAATGCAATAAAAAAAATTATTAGTTCGTTGATATTTATTTTTGGAGGTCGCTTGAAAACATTTTAGGTACACACTACTTTTAAAGTTAAAATAATTATGAGCGACCTTTAGAAATTAAAATATCCATTTGAAATATTCTGAATCGAGATTTTTTTCAATGAAAATGAAATAATGAGAAAATGATAAAATAATAGAAAAAAATTAAAAAAAAATCAATTTTTGGAAATTTTTAAAAATGTTGAGCAACCTCTAAAAAATTTTTTTTTGGGGCCGCCCTAATATATTACATAAATTTGGAATTCCCGCTGTTTTTTTGATTAGTTCGTCCATCTGATCAATAGTGGGCGCTACTAGTTAAAAGACTAACCCAATCGTTGCCGACCGTTAATATACAAATATAAAATACAATATAAAAAAATGCTATTATATAATAGCATTTTTTTCATAACTTTTGTATGTAGAGAGCAGTATTACAAAACAAGGAAACGTAAAATAATATAAGCGCCAACTTATTTTGCTTTAATAAGACGACTTCAAAATCATAATTTCAACTTACATTAAGAGCCTCTTGTCCTGTTCCTTCACCGTCGATGACAGCGGCAGGATCAAAATTGAGATCCGAGGGAATTTCTGGAACTGAACTGTCTTGATTTGTGCTACCACCGTTGTTGTTAGTGCTACTGTTTGAACTGGAACTGTTGTTGTGGCTGTCTGTGGGCGGCGGGACACTCGGAGGGCCTGTCCCTCCACCGGGTGTGTGAGCCGATCCCGGGGTCCCCCCTGGCGTGTGAGGGGTGTGAGGTGTGTGAGGCGTGTGAGGTGTGTGCGGCATCTGAAACAAAAAAAAATATGGAAGTTATGAAAGTAACGAGAACACTAATTTGTATTTGTTGACCGTTTCAAAGTTGTACTTACCTGTTCATTCAAACTCTTCTCCATTGCGTTGAGCGGATCCAGAGAATTCACGGATTCGCTCAGATGGGACAGCGGTCCGTTTCCGCTGAGATATTCATTACTTCCGGAATACGAAGTCATGTCGTTCATGTTATTCCTGGAATTGTAGGATGGCGGTCCATTCATCATGGACCCGCTTGCAATACTGTTCATGTCTGGGGGCAAGTAAGGCGACATTGCTTGCATGTCCCAGTTGTTCATCGTCGGCAGCGTCATGCTTCCAGGAGACATCGCTTTATTCCTCTTGGCTCCACAGGAGTCGTTGCCTTCGTCTTCCATCTGCAAGAAAAGGTAATGGGTATCGACGGTAATTTAGGTGCTAAAGGGTCAAGAAATCTACAGTTACTGCAAACTCTTCTTACCTTAATTCCTGGTCCATTGCCTTTTGCTGCCTTCCAATTAGCGGAGCTGTCAATTGTGACTTCTTCCACATCCGACGTGCTTAAAGTATTAAGTATACCCCACATGTACTGGTCGACCTCTAGGCCTTCTAATTGTGCTGGTTTGCTGAAAAATATTCAATAAGTCAGTACAAGTATGTACGAGTACACAGAAATACACTCTTCAGCTTTATACTTACTTGCAAACAGGACACCTCCACGACCCCCTCTCACAATTGAGTTGTAGGTAGGACTCCAAATCGAAACACTGTATATGCTTGCATTCGTGTCCCCTCGCAGGCAGTGTGATTCGTTTAAATGTAATGGGACATTTCAGGGACACCTTGAGGGCCGTTTGTTCCACGGCGTCTCTGTCGCGTTCCATGTTAGGACCTGAGCCGGTATTACTGAAGTTCCTCTTGATCTTCGCTATGCAATGATCGGCCGTTAGGAGTCGTTTCCTCAGTAGGCCCTGTAAGACTGACCTGACGCTTGGTCTGTGCACCAGTTGTAGAACAAACAGATGTGACTGGAAAAGAAATATTCTTTCAGAAATGAACGACGGACATGATAATAATACACGTACACAACAACATGCTGACACGGTGATTTGTATGGTGTTTCTGCCGGGTTGGCAGACATCCTTAAGGTAAAGAGGCTTGTGGGAGGTCTTGTTCTCTCCTCTGTCGATGATGAGAGGCGTCGCATTGACGGACACCTGTACCGAAGCAGGCCAATTGGTGTTCATCTGTCTGTCTTCGTGGTGGAAGCACTTGAGCTGCAGCTCTAGGTCCTGACGCCACATCAGCGTCTGATGAACGGTGGGCTTCAGCTGGAATACGTGATTGCTAACCGCCAAGTTGTGTTCTAGTCGGAACGGTGGCAAGATGATGCCGTCTCTTACTGGAAACGTCAGCCTGAGTTCATCATCTTCTGGAAGAAAGATGAATAAAAGATATGTAAGAATCGTTTATTCCAATCCTGGATATTTAAACAGAAAACTGAATATTGAATGAACTGTAATAATGTTTTAGTACTTTTACTATAGGATGCCTCAGAGTAGGTTTTTCGAATTTTCTCAGATATAACCAGTCAAATTGGTGAAATGGTTTCTATCAGTCCGAAAATGTATGTTAATGGTGCCATACCTCTCAAAAGTATTAACTAGAAATGGTTATTTTTTTTATTACGAGAGATTTGATAAATTGATAACTATTGCTTTTTGGTAGGGACATGATACTTTTGAAGTTAAAAATGATTGTGATAAAATGTAATCTTGAAACATGCGTAATGAGTAGTTTGAATAAGGGTGTAAATTCAGTTTTATAGTAACCTTGATTTCGATAAATTTTATAGATTCTGAGAAGAATCAAAAATATTATTTTTTAAGCAAAAAATGATGCTTATTGCATATAGCTGGTAGTATGTTTGAGAAAAGGCCGAAAAAAAGAAGACTGACTACAATTGCTATCGAAATAAATGAAATAGACCTCTGAGTTTGGAAACTGATGTTAAGAAAACGTATTGGCAAAAAAATTTAAAATATGGACCATATATAGCCTCACTATTACTCCATTGTGTGCTAAAATTTCAGTTTCATTATCCCATTTTTTAGTTATTAATGAAAATGTTGAAAAAATTACGGTTTTCTACCTACAAAATTGATACCTCTCACTTTAACTCGTCGTAATTTTCTTGTTAATTGATAAAAAAATTCCAAAGTTTTACTGACAATAAGTCGAACTATTGTATTTAGACTGTGAAGGTCATTTGACCTCAAAAGCGCTTTTTTTATTCTTAAGCAAAACAGAAGGGAGTGCTATCTCCATAAATATTGCGTTCTTTAAAAAAAGAAAAAAAACTATCATAGGTAGTAACTAACTATAAATAACAATCTGAAAATTTTTTAAGTAATAGAGTTATAAATATAATTTTCTTAAAAACAGCATCGGAATGGTCAATTACGTTCACAGTCCGATGCAGGGTATACAGTATAGCCTTTATAACTATTATTTTAACAAATTTTTTCAGATTGTTGTTTACAATTTACTACTTGAGTCAGTTTTTTCTTCTTTTTTTAAGGAGATAGCACTCCCTTCTGTTTTGCTTAAAAATAAAAAAAAGAAGAGCTTTTCAGACAAATGACCTTCACAGTACTAAAGACAATAGTTCGACTTATCCTCAGTAAAAATTTGGAATTTTTTTAATTAACCAAAAAAATTACGATGAGTTAAAGTGAAAGGTATCAATTTTGTAGGCAGAAAACCGTGATTTTTCAACATTTTCATTAATAACTAAAAAATGGGATAACGAAACTAAGTGAAATTTTAGCACGCACACAATAGAGTAATAGTGAGGCTATACTTATATGGTCCAAATTTCAAATTTTTTTGCCCCTACGTTTTCTTAATATCGGTTTCCAAACTTAGGGGTCTATTTCATTTATTTCGATAGTAATGCAGTTGTCCATAAATGATAGTGTCGAATATTTTATGAGAAATTTCTATTTGATGTATAATTATCCATACTAATATTTTGATTATTTCACCTAAGAAGTATACAATATATATACAATAGAAGTAATCCAAATTGGTTTTTCAAATGCTACAAATAGAAGAAACTGTTTTTTTTTTTTGAGATATACAAAAATTCCACTGGACTGCATCTATAAAGCAGACCAAACCTGAGAGACAAGACGGTGGAGAAATTCGTATCCATATTTTTACATAAATTGCACATCTTTCGTGTTTAGTTTCCTCAAAAACACCATAAAAATCTATGTTTCACCATAACAATTTTATCACAATCATTTTCAGTAGTGAAATAACGCATCTTAAACATTGACAGAAAGTTTGTAAAACCTAAACAGGGACACCCTGTATATATCTCTTAAAAGGATTGGAAAATGGATTGAAACTATATTTTATTTAAGGTTCTTCCTTCAGCCACTTAAGTAACTCGTAGAGTTATATTTTTAGATTAATTTCCTTTAACTTACTTTGCGTTGGTATTGGCGGTTTGAGGTCACTAAAGTTTGGTTTGACATCGGGGTTGGGGCTAATGTAAGGGGGCATACTACTGGCCGGCGTTAAAGGTGGCGTAGGATTTCCAGGAATCGGACTGTGCTGGTAATTCATGTTGTTCCTCATCGCGACGTCTTGCTGGAACTGGTGAGCAGAAGTGTTGGTGACGTACTGTCCACTCGCGTTGTTGTTCATGTTGTACTGGCCAGAGTTACTTGAAGGGAACTGGTTCATCGACCCGTTCGTGAAATACTGTCCTTGGTTTGTGTAGGGTGGGGTAGCTTGCCTCAGTTGCCTCGGGTTTCCCACAGGAACCATGTTGCCTGGTCCCGGACCAAAGTTACCTGTAGGACCCAAAGACTGCTGAGAGGGATACTGGTTGAAGCTAGGCTGCCTAGTTCCGTACGCGGGGTACTGCGCGTTGGGGTTGAAATTAGGATTCATCGATGGATTCAGGGAAGGATTCATGTTGGGGTTCATCGTCGGGCAGGCGTTGGGGTAGTTCTGCTGGGTGTTCCTTTTCTGGGACATGTGCATGGCCGGGGAAGGATAGGGAGCCATCCGCCTGGGATACATGGAGTTGGAAGTAGGTCCAGGGCCCTGTATGCCCATCTTAGGCCCCATCGAACCGCCCATATTGCCCATGACGTTGACGTTGTTGTGCATGCCACCCATGTTCATGTTCTGCATGCTGCTCATGGGGTTCATTCCGTTCATGCCGTTCATGGGCATCATCCTTTGTTGGTAGCCCTGCGAGTATTGCTGGTTGTTGAACTGGCCGTTGTCTTGGAGTGCCACCACGCTGGCGGTGGCAGTTGCTGTGGCGGTCGCTGCAGCTACCATGGCTGCAGTGGAAAGAGCATTACCACCTCCGTATCCGTTGTCGCCGCCGTTCATAACATTATTTGCACCATAACCGCCCACTCTGTGAGAAAAAAAATAGTTTATTTAAAAATCAGATAAAATTCATAATATTTTTATACCACATTCAAAAATTAAAAAAAAAACGCTTTCTTGTGACTAACTAGTAAAAGAGAATTGCTACAAAGATGTTGATCTGGTATAAATTGAATTAGGTATACACTACTGGTCTTTTTATACTTGGTACCTGATGCATTCGAACAAGTAGTGACTTTCCGTCTCACCGTTTGGTGCATTTAACAAGTATCAGTAAGGTAGAAGGGATTCAAGTGTAGAACAACGCAACTCTTTATTATATTTCATATGAAAGTCGTCGAATCGTAAAAAAACTCTGAAATTCTGAAGATAGTTTTAATTCAATTCTTTTGTTGTACAATTTTTACTTAAATTCCTGTCTTTTATATTGGCTTATATGCGATTAATAAATAATAAGAGGAATTACATCATTCCGTTCGCTAACGTTTATTACGAAAACTTTATTAATAAAGTCAAGTAACAAAGGAAAGGTTTCTCGTTTCTATGTTCCGTAAGGGACAATCTGAACACAGTTTAAGCAGAAAACGTCTTATCAGAAGCATACAAATGATACTTTCAATGAAACCATCAAAGAAATTTCTAAGAGAACACGTTTTCTTTCAACAAAGAAGAAATCACGGAAGCTATTTGATAATGGAAAAGGAAGATGACCATTTTGAAAACTGACGTTATAAATTGTAACTTAGCACCTTCCTGGTATTTTTTCATTAATTAAAAATGCAATATGAATTTCACCCAATTCATATTTTTATATTAGCAAATTTCTGAACGGATTGCCTTCTAATTTCAACAAAACGAGCGTGTGATATTTGTTTTTAAAAATCAATCAGTGAGAATTCTAGGTAGATGCAGCTATCGAATAACGACTCCCTTGAGCTCATTCGTGCGATTTTCAAGCGGAGGCCATTCTTCCTCCTTTGTTCGGCGATGCCGTGGAGCGGTGTTTAACATGCAATATAATGAGTAACAATGGAATCGTACGGGGAGAGCAAATATGCGCTATTTGTGGGGTACGGAGAGCTGAGAAAAAAGCGCTTTTTCATTTGCCTAAACCGGTGGGTAAAGCACGGTTCTAAACAATAACCCTCGCGCGGAGGGCGATCGTCGATTGTCACGGGAATATACAACGAAGGGAGTAGTAGTAGTAGTAGGCTGCGATGTGACAAAACACTGGCGACAGCATATTGGCTCGACGAGTTTCGTTGGGTATCGAACCGTTTGGTTCGGGGGTTCGATTTTGGGGCGGCGGACTCGCAGATTGTCAACAGAAACGAAGTTTCGTAGTGTTATTGTAACCGCTGCATTAGCGGATCGGTTTATCATTCAACTGTTCTTTTTTATAAACGGTCCGTTTATTTTTTAAATATAAAAAAAATTGATCGATACTTTGGTAAATAAAATTATTTAGAAAATATGAGAAGGGAAAAGAGTTAATAGGTAACAAAACAAAATCGTTTCTGTACAGGGTGATTCAAGTTTAATCTAGATAACTTGAGGAGTCGATACAACAGGGTAAAAACAATGTTTATTCATTATATAAACTTTTTTCCTAAATTGCATCGTTTCGGAGATAGAGGGCGTTGAAATAGAATTCTTTTCTCGCTTTTCCCTCATAACTTTTGAACTACTCATCCGATTGAGGTGAAATTCGGAACACAAACACTCCCTATGATCTTATATAAGCTTCTTAAATTTGAACCACTTATACCTTAGAAGTGTATTTTGTGTGCTACCCCCCTCCTACATTATTTCAACATTACTTAGTTTTGTTGAAAGAAAGTTTATATCATGAATGAACATTATTTTAACCTGTTCTATCGATTCCTGAAGTTATGCAGATTAAACCTGAATCACCCTGTATAAGGTGTAGCAAAGATATCGCAATAAAATTTATAGATGCTCTCAATATACGGAGTAAAAAAAAACGAGAGTCACGTTTTTTTCTAAAACTATAACAGTTTTACCGTCCTTCAGAGATGGGGTGTGAAGAATGTCTATAACGGGGAGAAAACCGCTGTCCAAAATTTTAGTAAGTACTCATTTTCGTAATTAATTACTAAAATATTACTCAGAAATAATGAAAAAAATAAAATAAAATAAAGAGCGAGGTAGTGTGGGGTCTGCCATGCATGGACGTAATGTTCTTATGACGCAAGTAATTGTTTTATTTTACAGAAATATTACTCAACTTAGTACTCATTATTACTCAAGCTTATACACCGAATTACTCCCGAGGTTTCATCATTACTAAAAAACAATCACAACTTCCTAAATGTATAATTTGAATATAATCTTAACAATAATGTTGATATTAAGATCGATTTGATGAATTCAAACTATTAAAATGCATTATTTTGCGTCGAGAAGATTTATTTCTTAGATACAGATTGAACATACTAATTTCCAGCTAGCACTTCTGTGCTTTGAGCTTTTATCGTCTAGCGAGCATAAAAAATCAATCAACATATTTTGCACGGGTTCGTGCTTATTAAATGGAAGACAGCCAAATGAATTGGACACTTAAATGAGCCATTTAAATTTTTGAAAATTGGAAACAACCTTATCCGAGCTTTTAACACTAGTATTTGATAACGATTTTATTATTCACTTGCTCTTTGGACTTTTACTCGTTAACGGTATATTTTATGAAAAAGGCAAGCGACACTGAAGTTTTCATTGGAAATAATCTACACAAGGATCGTACAACTCTTAGGAATCGTTTATAACAAAACAGACTCCAACGCAGGCCAAACCACGTGGCCCAAGATTTTGAATGGATGGGTTTGGTGTCTGCGCATTGTCCAATTTAGCTGATCTCATTTGAATGCATTTCAATGTATTTAAAGATGATTTGAAGTGTTTGGAGCAAACCAATGCTTTCATTTTTTGTATTATCATGTTTGGTTTGTACTAGGTTTTCTACCAACATCGCGTGTTGACGTTGGCATTGGTTTGTATTGGAACCCTTTTCCTTTTTGGTCATTTTGATGAGCGAAAACACTCATTAGAGTTTGTCCCTACATTGCCTTCATACTATGTGGATATTACACATAGCAAATAGTTAAATTTTATTAGATCTTATGTATTTGTACAAAGAAAGTAATATCTAAAAACACACTAGTAATGCAGAGGTTCATATTTAGATAAAAAAAATCATTCTCTGCTCGGTGGAATCAAAACATGTTTATTTCTTTGCGTGCAAGCAAGGATCTACTAATAAATTTGAACTAATCAATGTAATGATAGTAATTACAAACTATTAAACGTTTTTTTCATTAATACGCAACAACTAATTAAATAAAGTGGTTACACTGCAACCTGACAATTTTTTTTTGCCATCTGAATTCTAAGTCGTACCGTGGTGATATTCTTTATAGCTGCGTGCGTCAAGTTCGAAATGTTTTTATATGCCTCATAAAGATAAGAAAGTTACAATAATCTTCCAGCACGTGCTGAAATAAAATACTTCTAAAACAATTTTAATGCAAAGATCAGACCGTTCGACAACTAAATATCTGATTCTGTTTCTACTTGTTCTGAAAACAGTCTTTTTTTGTTTATTTTGCATTCACCCTCCGTATTTTGATCCCCCTCAACGCAACGCCACTGCCCGAGAGTTCGTTTCGCTCACCCACCGCAGTAGTAACGCTCTCTCCCGTTATATTGACAATCCCTGATTCCACCCCCTTCCCTTTCAACCCCACCGCGTCCTTCCACCCTACGCTGAGTAGGTCACCTTTGTTGGGACCCAAAACGACCCTAATTGGAAGTGTATTTTCGGCAAAAATACCTGGGGCTCCACGAATTTAAAGGGACACGTCGCATTTTTGACTTACCAACTAACTGTTACCGGTTCCATGATGTTTTATAGTATCCTAAACGCGATTTTAAAAAGGGAAATATTTTACGATTCGTAAATCAATGCCGATTCTACGTGACATCCAGGGGGTTTTAGGCAGGGTCAGGACGTACGTTATTAGTAAATTCTGTGCCGAAATTTTAGGGAAACCTCTGTGAAAGTGTCTCAACGTAAATATACTGTAGTAAACATTAGTCGAATTAGTCGAATTGTTATTAAAATGTTTCTCCTAGTTAAAAAAACACATGTACCTATTAATGTTTGTTTGTTCTAAATCAAGTGGAAAATATATTAGTTTCCAAACTGTTGCATTTTGTAACTAGTTCTTTTAATTATTGGCTTTATACGATTTTAATACAAACAAAAACTTTTGTGTACTTATTTCTAAATACTTCATATAAGTTATAGCGTTTGTAATTTTCACGGTAATGTGTAAAGTGTACATATTTTACAAACTATTGTGAAAAATAGTTTATATTTTAATTTGTTACTATGACAGTATTGTGGTTTTATATGTCATATCGCCATGACCTTTAAAATTTTGAAATTGATAATTCGGTATTAATTAAATCAGAATAAATTGTTAAATAATCTATATAGCTTTAATGTGGACTATTTGATGCAAATAATGCTTATCTACTTTAATATTTTATTACTCATCATATTTGATTTTAGGCGTTAGTGCGCAAAGTACTTTACCTAGTTGTTGCAGAATAGTTATCTGTTTAACTAGATAGTGAAGTACAAGATTTAATGCCACGGCTGGTAGATAGACGAGGCGTAGCCGAGTCTATCAAATCAGTCATGGCATTAAATTTACTCTACTGCCAAGATAAACACATAATCATCATTATCGTAATAGCAAACAAGGCTATTTATTTTATATTATTAATATTGTATGATACTTCTTTCCTGAATAATAATAATTTCATCAGGCGTTCAGTAAATAACTTAGGTACACAGTAATCGCCATATTGTTCCTATTTAAATCCATAAAATAACTTTATTATTTGAAATGGAAGAATTCACATTAACTTCGACAGAAATTAGTGAACCAGCAAATCCAATAGAGTAATTTATTACCAGAAAAATCGAAGAAGCAAACATATAAGACATTTACTGAGAATAACATTAATCGAATGGATATCGTGCTAAAAAATCACGCGTTTTAGAAAATGAGCAAATTAAAACATTTCTAATAGAAGCCCCTGATGTATTGTATTTTGGTACAAAGGTAATTATAAACAAAACATTTTTGTAAACGAAGAACACTGATTTATTATTATTTTAGATGGCAATGATGTTTGCCATATATAGGTCGTGTCGATGTGATGAATTACTTCAAATAAAAATTGGAGATATTGAACATATGGGAAATAGATTGCCGATCAGTCTGCCAACTACAATAACAAAGAAGAAAATGTCCTTTATTGTCAGCGAATATTTACGTATAGCAAATAGATAGTAACAATTTTTTTTAATACACATTTGCCAAAACGAGTTGCTGCATTTCTCAAATTGAAGGATGTTCTCGAATATACCGGACGTTGTTTCCGTAGAACTTCAGCTACACTATTAATAAATTCAGAAGCTGATATCACAACTTTAAGAATGCATGGTGGATGGCAATCATCAACGGTAGCTGAAGGCTACATTGATGAGTCCATAACTCGTAAATCAGTTGTTAGCAAAACAATTTTCCCTGCTGCAAGTAACATCAAGTGCTGGAAACGATATTTTAAATAATTCAACCACTTTAGAGGATTCAATAGTTCATCAGCCATCTACTAGTGAAAATATTTCAACCTGCAAAGACGAAGTACTTAAATGATTCAAAACAAACAGGACAAGGGATATCCCTTACAGGCTGTTCTAATTTCACTATAAATTACTTTCGGTAAAGAGGCAGTAAATGTGATACTTTAGTGCCTGACTGCCGTCACTTTAATGTCGATTGGCGAAAAATGCATTTTCGAATAAATTTACTCCGTTAGATATAAATATTTTCAACTCCCAAAAACCGGTGCATTTCAGACAAACGTATTTTTGTTTTCATATCCCCGATTTTCTGTTCAGATTCAACTTATCCGTTTTGCGTAATCGTTTCGCAATGTTTAATTCGCTATTGTGAGTTGTGCAAATGCAAGTCGTGAAACGACATTTATGCGACATTATTAATCAGTCCACGATAAGTTTCTATTAAAACTAAAATGTACTAGCATTGATAATGTTTTATTTTTAAAAGCTGGCAGCGATAACGAGCGTTAGAAATATTCGTAACACTTTCTGTTGACTAAAATCGACTATACGTGTAAGCAGCCGTGGAGATAAATTCAAAACGGGACGGAGTATTTTACCCACAGTCTTCTACTTCCCTTCGAAACAGTTTCGAAGAATGTCGGGAGGGTCTTTTTGTTTGGTTTCCCAGAACTAGGTCTGCTTAGATATCTGTCGCCCATTGTGCCTCCCAGCCGGCTGGAGCATTTGTAAATATTTCAGATCTGTTTAAAAAATATTGAAACCTCAATTGGGCATGCCGGACGGCAATTTTTATTATAGTCTGGGCGTTTTGTTTACTTGCTGCAACAATTCTTTTGTAATATCCTCTCCGTACCTTCTTAACATTCCTTACGGGTAACGAAATACCTTTATTACGAATTTTCACCGTTTCCTTTTTTTATAATTTAACAAATAGACATGTTCTAAATTAGAAGAGCCTTTAAAGAAATATACCTGCTGTGATTGAAAATACAGTAAATGTGACTTGTCCTCGATGTTTTATAATTTTTTACGGCAATTCTAATTTGTGCGAGTTTATAATTTGCATTATCTATGCTAATCTATACTTTATCTTTGTGTACACACACCATAAAACCTTTTTCAGGCGATTTAAAGTGACAATGACGCTAGCAAGTGTGAGGTAATCGTGCGATTGTTATCTCACAAGGGGATTAAATCTTGTTTTAGTTTCATCGTTTTTAAATAACGAAATACTTTACGTTAAGGATTAGCTCGATTTTCAAAGAAAAATTCGCGATGTAGTGTTTTGAGCAGATAGAAGATATAATCTCAGTTTTTGATAAAAAATATTTAATATTTTTTAAATTAAAATCGTTATTTGAATTTTGTTTAATATATTTTAAGAAACTGCTTATGTGGTATATCATGCAAGCTTTCAATTTTGCTTCAGTTTTCCTCTACAATTTTCAAATAGTCGTAGCAATTAATAATTTTATTGGGCCTGGATATATATATGTTGTTGTATCTTCTATACATTTTTTTATAATTATCTACAATTTTGACATCTATTCATGAAATTTTGATGGGTTCAAAAAGTCTTGTTTGGAAAAATATACATTTTCCTTGGCGCATTCGCCATTTTATATATACTAATGTCCGGAAGAGGGAATAGTTTTTTATTTGTGGGTTTACGGCAAAAAGTCACTCTTTGTAAAAACTCCTGCTTGTTCTAAAACGGTCAAAACTGTTAAAATATTTGTAATTTTTTATACAGGGTGTTCATATTTAGAAAAATATTGTTAGTCGCCAAGAGTAAAGGTATTTTTGACAATATCGAAAAATATTTTCAGGGATGTCATTTAGGATCCACAGGGGATTAAAATTGGTTTATTTATTTTTTTAACAATGCGGGCAGCTAATTTGTATGTACCACTTTATTTGATATTTGCAAAATTTATGCAATAATCAATTTCTTTAATTTTATTTTTATTAAGTTAATTTATTGCTAATAACATGAAAATTTACATAAACAAGGAATAATGTAATGTATGTGTTTTTTAAAGTGGCCACATTATTACCAAGCGGTTCAGTTAAACTTTTTGTTTTAGATTGCCTCACAAATAGAAGTCCATTATTGTTAGATCAGGGCTTCTAGGAGGCCATGGAACAGGACTTAATCGTCCTATCCATCGATCTTTAAAATGTTGGTCCAACCATTCTCTAACCATAATTGTAGAATGAGATGGATGAAAATAAGCCCACTCTCGTTTAGGTATTTAAGAAAACATACTTAGTAACTGCAAATAAGAATGCTGGTTCAAGTTTTCCTCTATAAAATAGGGTCCAACTATTCCAAAATAAGAAACGGCACACCAAACGTTAACTTTTTTTTATACTGTCATCTACAATTAATCCGAAAATTAGGATTTTCCGAGGCCCAGTATCTACAATTTTGAGAGCCACTATTTCTTTCGTGGAAAAGTCGCCTCATCCGAAAAAATTGTGGGAAAATTTCTGTGTTCGAGATGGTGCTCACCTACCCATAAACAAAATTCCAACCTTTTAGAATCGTCCCACTAGAAGAATCTAGTGTATGGACAAACACTGGTTTATAAGGATATATTTTTTTTAGCAATCTTTGTAAACGAGATTTACTAACGTTTCCAATTTCAGAAGCTCTTTTCCTTAAAGCTGTCTTTGGGACATTTCTTATTCTAATTCTACAAGTTTCTTCTTCGTTAACCGCTGTTACCTTTTCTTTTTTAATACAGAACCAGTGTTTTTAAATTTTCGTACAATCCGTTTAATAGTCTTATCTGTGACTATTATGTCAGGCCATTTCTCATTAAATCGTCTTTGAACAGCCGCGAATGATATTTCTTCACCCAAACCATAGCACTGAACAATAAATACTTTTTGTTCGAGAGTGAGCATTGTAATCTCAAATAAAATATTACCTAATTAATCACGAAGTGACTTTGACAGAAGACGGTAAACATTATTTATTTGGTTGTTATAGCTACAGCATCCTTCATTTTATAAACTCCTCTATTATAGCACGCACAATCAGGTGCCCGCCTTGTTTAAAAAGAAAATTCAACAAAAATTAGTGAAACCTCAAATTTTTAATTCCCTGTGGATCCTAAATGACATCCCTAATAATATTTTTTGATATTTTTTGATATTGGAACAAGCAGGAGTTTTTACAAAGAGTGACTTTTTGTCGTAAACCCACAAATAAAAACCTTTTCCCTCTTCCGGACATTACAGTGGGGAGGTGTTTGGAATCTTTAAATAATAAATGTTCATGTTTTTGGACCTACGTAGTTGTTAGCAATTATATACTTTGGGATAGTGATTTTTTCTCGTGCTTTGGAGATAAGCTGTAGCATTTTTCTCTGACGCTTCGCGAGGTCGAGACGACCGCCTTTGAGGGAGTTTTCGGTGGAAATAACACAAACGGACTCACCCAGGAGGAACGCTCTGCCTGTAAGCCGACTGGTAGGAGTTCTGCTGCACCTTGGCCAAGCCGTTACCGCCGCCGTAGACGGGGTTGCCTGTAGGAGTCGGGCCTCCCGTGTAGCCACCCCCGTGGGGGCCCGACTGCGTGGACGTGGTGACTCCCCACACGGTGGTCACGACTGACAACTGCTGCTGGGCAGTGGCGCCTCCTGGCGTCCAGTCCCTGAAAAACGACACCTCGGTTATGCTTTTTCGACTCTTCAGCCGCGGTCCACGTGGTGGAAGCGATTAGTCAAGCCGTGGCCAGCGAAGAGCCGGGTCGCACTTGGTGGAGGAAAGCAAAAAAAACTTGGAAGTGCGATCTGCCGGCCACGGGTTTCTTGGGAAATGCTGAGGGTTCGCCGACTTTGGAGAAGTGTTCTTTGTGGCCGGTTTGGGAAGATCATAAAAGTTGTTTGTAAACACTAAAAAACAGTGTATCCTTGCCAGTTGTGATAGTGTTATCACACAAAGTGCACGCTACACCTGTATGGTGTACAAATCCAAGGTAGAGTCACCTCAAAAGTCACATTAAAGCTTAAAGTTTTGTAAAATTTGTTTCAGTTTCGAGTGCTAAACACTTTCTAACACTAAATACCACGAAACTTTTTTTACTGGTTTATTGTACAGTACAGTTTGAATCGCAGTACAGTACAGTCACTTTCTAGCACAAATAACTTGGTTTCCACACTTTGAACTGTTTATCTCCTCGGATATTCCAGGTGTAAAGTTTCGGTCACACTAAAGGTTACTTTTTGTAAAATCCCAAATTGGAGTTTCAATTAGCACAAGATTTTTAATTCAGTCCCTTCGGGTGTATTTTTCTCATTGGCAAGACACTGAACACAGAATATCCAAAGTTAATCCAGAGTTAGCACTGAACGCTGAAAAGCGTAAAAAATCCACAAAACGTTTGGAGCTTCCTTAAAGATCCGGTTAGCGATCACTTTAGAACACCTTCCCAAAGTCCCCTCGACATTTCCGCAAATCCACCGATTTCGAAAAAAAAATCCCTGCAAGAGAAGGGAAAATTAAATATTACCTATAGGAAGTATATCCCAGCATTTGAGGGTAAACATAAATGTAGTCAATTTATCGAAACACTTCGCGCGGCATAATACAACAAGAGTGACAGACCGAAACTCTGTTAGAAGACAAGAGAGTTAGGTATCAGAGCACACTAGTGTTGTCTATCGAACGGGAGCTCACGCGTGTTACTAGCTCGGAGCGCGACGTTCAACTGTCTGCCTGTGGGAGAAACAACGGCACGTAGTCTCGGTGGTGGGGCTGAGGGGAAGTTTGACCCGAGTGAAGCTCATTCTCTCCTCCATTCCGTGCGGCCACAATATCGGTTATGGCTGGCGCTGTTGCCAGTTCGCCAAACCGGCCGATACCGTGGGTGGGACGCGTCCCGTCTCACTCGGCACGCAATTTGACTAGTGGATCACTTTGTGTGCACCGTATTCGATATGGAGAGCGTGTATACCTGCTATCTCAGTCCGCAGCGCTCACACACACACACACTGTGTGCGTTGTCTGCTAAGTTGTTGATCCCTCCGTTTCTCGACTGGAGAGCGACTCTGTGAACCGCTGGATTTACATTTTCATATTTTAAGTACGCCTTGACTTATTGTAAGAGTCACAATAGACGAACATACAACACTCCTCTCAGGATTCGGTACCTGGGTCTCCCACTAAAGACGTTTTAACCGTTCACTGTCGGTCTAAATAGGGCACAGTACAATTTAAAAGCCCTTAATATTAAACAATTTAAATAACAAATTTCCGATCAAGATTAAATCATCTCATTGATTCGATCCATTATTAAATAATGTATCAATGCTCACTTCGGTATCTTCGAGACCGTTAACCGTTTATAAGAAGCCAGTAAAACGGGAAAATAAAAGAATGTTCACCTAATTAAATACAAACGGAGGTATTTGAACTAGTTGCTGGCCCCGAAATAATCCCGGCGCGTTACCTCAGCCGTCCGCTAGATGGCGGTGGCGTGCACTTTCGTGAATATCGTGACGCGCGAGCTATTTGCGTCGGCTTCCTTCGTCTCCACACGTTTATTGTTTGCCACTTGGGAACCTGAATTTGCATATTTGCAATACTTTGCAATAAATACTGTCTACTCGAGAGAGGTTTCGATTTAATGAGATTAATTGAAAAAAAGAACGGCGCGTGTTGTGGCGGTATTGGCAATGTGTTTAAAAATCGTATAATGTAAAAACGTTACCTACTACATACGCGTAGGCTATTAATAGTAAGTAGAGTAAGGTTTTAAATAATTCCATGGTTTTAAGTATTTTGGAATATCGTACCGTTGTATGTTTTACTTTGAATTAATTTTTCTCCTCGCAGGAATAGACACGTACGTTGTAAATATATTTTTGTTTGCGATTTTAACTATTAAAGTAAAGGCCGAAATTCTAAAATGTAGAAAAACAAATAGCTAAAAAAAATCGTTTCTATTATTACTAAGCATAATACTAAACAATTTTTTTATTGTACGGAATGGTAACACAGCTGAAAACAGTTGTTAAGTCATGTTTTTTCAGTTTCATTGCAAAGACCCTTTAACATTTACGAGACAATATAGCACGAAAAGAATGAAACGTTCCCCTAGTTGAATCCGGATTGTGTTCTAATTGGATACCGAAGAGGCGGGTTGTCTTACCGTTGAGAACCGATAGATGGCGCCTCTATACACTAACCGGAATATCGTGACGTCGCATGCTACATTGTAGCTTGTTTTCGTTTTTATTGTGATGCTTAACGGGATGCTATGTTGTGGATTTTATAATAGGCGTTTAATGTTTCATTCAATAATAAAAATCCGTTTTACCACTTCAAGTGAGGTGTCGTGTGTGGATTTTTTCTGGCATTGAGGTTTTTCCGAAGTGTTAATTGCATGCATTTTTATGTATGCGGTTTCTAGTCTAGGATAACAAAATATTACATGATTTTATTTAATCGCAGACATTAACAAAATCTTGAACTACTTATTATTCATTAGTCGATATCTACTTAGTTATTATGGTTAAGTGTTAGGTATCTAATAGATTTTATTTTATATTGCAAATACAGCCTACTGAATAGTAGTATGCCGCCCCGTCTCCCTCACAAGTCTCCGATTTTTGGGCCAATCTTTGCGATTAGAATGTGGGGTAAAGATATCATTATTTAGAAAGATGAAAAATAATGGGATCATTTTTTATTTAATCGAAGCGTATTTTAATGTAAATGTTCCATAATTTAAAAATAAACCGCACAGGAAACTGGTCCACTGTAAAACCTGACCTTACGCAAGGCAAAGCTGCAGTCGGCGACCGGCACGGCGGCAAAGTGTAATAAAAAATGAACGGAACGAAATAAATAAGATTTTATAACATCTATGTTATATCAGCAAATTCAACTGCTTTTGCCGCTATTGCTATTATTACTTAATAAAATTAATTTGTGGTTTTAATAAATTAAATAATTTGGCATACCTGGTGTGTTTCTCAGCTGTAATACGCCGTAGACGCCCTGGACCTCCATCTTTTCTATGATTCCGCGGTAAAAGTAGCTGCATTTGACACATGTCTGAAATCGTTCTGCGTACAGACGAAAAGCTTGCTTCACCATTAATTAAAATGATATTCATCAGCTCCGAGTTGCTATACAGTAAGCCATTTTTATCACTTGAAAAACTAATGTAAACACTATCGCAACAACGATAATACTAAAATCGGATTTCAGTAATCGGAATTACACAGCGCACAACGCGAATGACGCTAGAGACTACAGTAACCCAGTGATGTAAAGGTTGAAAATACTACAACTTCAGTATTTTATTTCTCGGAAACTATAAGGGGTTTACAATTTTTTGTAATATTGACTCCATTTTGCATGATGCATCTATTCCCAAATTTTTTTGGATAAGTTGTGAATCACCCTGTATATAGAGTTCGGGAGGAGAAAAATTTAATTTATTTTTGCCAAGAAGTACATGAATACACTTGCAAAATCTTTTCTACTAAATCAATGTTTTTATAGTTGTTTTAAAGCGAATTTGTGTAGCATCATACAGATAATATTCTACTCCCCTTTATCTCTTTTACTTTTATATCTAAAAATGGTAAAATTTTCTTACGATACCAAAAAAAACAATTGATTATTGCATTTTAATAATACAGACCAGTCTTTTGATTCTTAAATAGATCATATTTGTCGTTTTCTTTATTTCTCTTCTTTTTACTGCCTACGCTAATACATAATCAGGATTGCCGTGGAACCAATGACTGTGCCCTCTGTTAAATTTATCAAACAAATCTTTAAATTCTCTATCAAGGAACAATATCTTGTAATAGGTGTTTTATAATATCTTCACCTGTCCATAGAAAGAGCTGCATTGAGGTCTAATTGGTCTGACGGGTCATAAAATTATACCTACATTTATTAGAAAAATTATTTAAAAAGTGTCCTTTATCTGGAACCCAGTAGTGTTATTATAAAACATCTTTTATACACATTTTGTCCATAATAAAATAATTAAAGATTAATGATTAAAGAATAAGAAAGTTTAGTAAATTTAATAGGAAAAGTATAAGTATATGCACTGGTTCCATGGCAATATTGACTTTATCAATTGTGGAGGGTCAGTAGGTATATAAACCAAAACATTGTGCAAACTATTATTATATGATTTGTAGACATCACTGTAATCAGGAAAAGGAGAGGATTCCCAAAAACGGCAAATATACAGGGTGGGCCACCAGTAACGCCTCGGTCGCTAGGGACCAAACGGCAAATGTTATAGGAACCTGTTTAGGTGGGTACGAGTAGGTTGATTACGGATACATTTTAAAAATATTTTCAAATATACAGGGTGTCCAGGAAAAGCGTACCATATCAAAGTTATGTATTTTTAAATGGAGCACCCCGTATTTTACTGCATTTTTGAAAGCATAAAAGAAAATAGGTGAACTTTAATAAAGGTTCTGCATACCTAGGACTTATTGTTTGTGAGATATTTTAGTGAAAATGCAGGCTTAGCGTAGAAATTTAATATTAGTAATAAAAAAACAATTTTAAGGAACCAGCTTTGGAGAGTGTATTTTAGATCCTTGAAGTTATAAATTATTATATTTGTCGTCACTTAGTATTGTGTTCAAAAAACTGCTGAATACTTCTCTCAACATTAAACAGCAATAACTTGGTTATTTTAAATGAGACACCCAATATATTTTTACTTTGGAAGTTAGGAAATTTAAAACTGTTTCAAATTGTGTAGAGGTTCCCTATACCTGTCTCTAATGGTATTGGAGATATTTGTGCCGTTTCATTTTTTATCGAATTTCTTTGTAAGATGTATACACGTGTCTTCATTTATTGAAAACAGTTTGGTTTACACATATATTTCTTTAATATCGCTACAAAATGTCCTTTGTTTTTTGCATAGTTCTTAGCTTGTGGCTTCTCAAATCTTCCAAACATTCTCAAATTTGTCATAAGTTTAGAAAAATACCGGTTATTTACTGGTTGTCTTTCGGGATAATTCACTCTAACTGTTAACAATTAACTTTATGATTAACAAAAGTTCAAAATGACAAGCAGTTTGAAACTACTACTACTGGGACTTTTCTTCGTAAACAGGTGGCCATTAGATACTATAATTTTTTCACTCAATGCCATGACATTAATGATAAGCTTTTACAAAAATTTGAGACTATTCTATAAGTTTCGAAAAATTATGCGGTGTTGCCAAATTTATTAAAAATATTGATTTTTGAGGTTGTCTTAGAAATTTTTTCTTACTTATATAATTGAGAAACCGAGAAAATGCTCTATTTGTTCAACTTAAAATTCAATATGACGCCCATAAGGACAAAGAAAGTTGAGTCTAAATATACAGAGAATTTCCTAGAAAAAACTTGCAGGAAGAAGTGTTTTCACAGCAAGTCTACATACATGCATAAATATTTTTACTTTGTGAAAACATTAAAATCCGAATAAAACTATAGTGAAGACCACCGATAATTTGTAATAGTCATATTATTAAAACTGTATTGATAAAGTAGATTCCTGCTTTTGACCATGTTATAATAATTAGTACAAAATACAACCCACAATTGAAATCCTTCTTCCACTTTACACGTATATGAGTGTATATTACTGGAAACCCACAATAAATATGTTCCTATTTGTATAAATAAACATATCTAAGTGTGTCAAACCATTAAATATGCTAGTGAATCACAATATGTATATTATCTTGGTTTTATTGT